CAGAAAATGTGATGTAAAATGTCCCTTGTGGAACATGCATGTTGGGAACAAATGGTTGTCAAGTGATATTGCACATACCCCAGCCAAGCCATCCCCGCTTACAGCTAACAAACAAATAGCTTACTGTTACCACATCGGCTACTTGCTAGGCACGACTATGTACGTACATACCCATAACAATGCGTACTTCAATTCTTCACCCTAGTTAGGGAGTAAGCAACTTTTAGCTACCTGCCCTGCGCTTCACTGTGCTTTTACCCTTACTCCGTAACAGAGCTACACAAGGCATCTCACTTCATTTTCACTCATATTTGGGTTAAAATACAATCTTAGGTGGCATCCCCATCTCAATTGATATAACACTGATAATAATAGTTGACGCCCGCCCACCTAACTGGATAGATGATTTGGTTTCCTGAAAACATTTATAACTTCATATTTATTTATTGTATACCTTTGAGAACCATAATATTGAGAGGATTGTGGTAGTTTACTTTAACTATTTCCTATACAATTCAATTTAATTAATACCAAATATCACATTTTTGTGTCACTCGCTTTGCAACCGCACCTACAGACTCTTTTCAAACATGAAATTTTATCTTTGGGAACACAAATTTAAGGTTTTTGCACATCAATCTTAAGTATACAGAATACTTAGTATTTTTAACTTAACCTAAAATTGCCTAAAAAACCCTCACCTTGTTAAAGAACTAGTCTCCTACCTTTTACAATATGCACCTATTAAGATACTACAATATTGTATGTTTAGATTTATGACAGATTTTTATGAAAACGTGTACATAATGTATGGCTACATGTTGTTCTATTTGCTGATTTCAGATGACCAGAAGAATCCTCGTGGCTCTTGATTTTGACCATACAATAGTGGAGGAGAACAGTGATATTGTAGCTCGCAAGTTAATCCATTCAGATTTAATACCTGATGGAGTACGGAGACTTTACCAGACAAAGGGATGGACGGAATACATGTCAGAAATTTTTAAGATCCTCCACAAAAATAAAATTAGCAAAGAAACAATTGTTGAAGCCATGCATAACATGACACCGACACAAAAAATGCCAGAATTTCTGAAATGGTTGAACAAAGAAAACCATGAGGCCATTATTATTTCAGACTCAAATTCAGTTTTTATTGATGTTTGGCTTCGACACCGAAAGCTCGATGAATACATAGCTCGTGTTTTCACCAACCCAGCTAGTTTTAATGAAGACGGCCTTCTCTTAATAAAACCCTATCATGAACAGGACTCATGCAAACTGAGTACAAGGAATCTGTGCAAGGGAGCCATTCTGGAGGCATACATAAAAGAGAGACAAGAGGAGGAAGTTTTATTTGACATGGTTGCCTATGTTGGGGATGGACAGAATGACTTGTGTCCTGCGCTGCGACTAAGTAAAGATGATGTGGTGTTTCCTCGTATTGGCTTTACTTTAGATAATATTTTGAAAAAACCAAAAGATGAGCAAAAAGTAATCGCCAGAGTAAGACCATGGATTTCTGCTGCTGAATTTATTCCTGTTCTCCAAAATTGATTATTTTTATAATGAACATTATGAGTTTTACAAACAAATTAATGTAAAACTGCCTTAAATTGTACATTCAGAATTTTAGTTTTCAGCCTTCTAAAAAAAAATAATTCTGACAGCTTTCTTAGTGTATTTTTAATGTATGTATTTGTGAAGTTTCTTATGTCGTACAGATTGTATGTAATAGTATCAAACAAAATGCTTTTATAGACATGTAAACGTTAAGTAAAACAAGTTTTGCGGTCACTTTATTCTTTTGACTCAACCTGCCAAAAACACATACAACTTCTATTCAATTGATTCTGAGAGGCATTTTCTTTGTCTAATACAAATTTATTTATCTCATTCTATACTATTGACGTATGGTCCAAAAACACTTTTTACCTTCCCCGTAGCAGTAAACCTAAGCACTTGTTAAATCTAATGTTATTTAAATTGGGAATAAATACGTCTTATTTATGGAAATATTTTAGTAAAAATGTAATCAGACAAGTTGAAATTCGCTTAGTCTGCAGGTTTGCTGCGGCGGGGGTATTTTTTAAATAGAGTCAATATATAACACAATTTTTTCTTCTTAATTTATATGTTATTTTGCGGCACGGCACGTTGAGCCTCACGGGGTCACTAGTACATGAATAATATTTTTAAAAGGTAAATTGTGTAAAATTTGTTGACATGGCCAATTGAAGACTTAGTGCTCATAAGTACAGCAAGATGTTAATAATTGTAATCCAGTAGTAACCTATTCCCATGTAGAAAACTACTCACAAGAGCTATAAGTCGAAAGTTTGAAGAAACTGATAAGAGGTTTTATCAGCAAAACATGTATGTTTACCCAGTGTTTACCATTAACATGTCAGTGAACTTAGAGTGAATTTTACGCCTGTATGTAAAAAACCTTGGTTAATTATTGAATATAATATAGGGTGGTGCAAAAAGGATGGTCGGATTTGAACTGCCTAATACTAGTAGGGGGGAGGGCCCACTGCCGGCCATCTGTAAGTCGACCATAGCAGTGGCGTATCTAGAACATGGCCTTGGGGGGGGGGGGGGGATGGAGGAACCCCAACACCGGGGGGCCTGGGTGGTATGGAATAAAATTTTGCAAAATTAGAACTTCAAACTCGCGTTTCAAGGCATTCCAGAGTTTTCCATTCCAGGCATCACGTTAAAAAAACTCCAAAAATCAACCCAATTGAGGCTGTCTCTGGTCGGTCAGAATCAGGAAATAGCAAGTAACTAAATCAAAATCACAATACAACAAACGAATAAATTATCATTAAGTTGTTGTTGTACTGTAGCCTTCTGAGCTGCGCGTTCTTGTTATTTGTGTATGTCAGCTGTAAAGAGGATTTAAAGGTAAAATATCCTTAGGCTACTGTTAAAAATTGATATTAATATAGTTGAGAAATTCGTGTAATATAGTTGGGTTAATTCGAGAAATATAGTTGGGAAATCCCCGTAAAATAGTTAAGAAATTGAAAGTGTCTCCCCCCAATATTTTTTTGTGTGACGCCCCTGACTGTAGGTAATGACTGTAGGTAAAATTATGGCGGTGGAAAGAGTGACCCTCCCCAGGCACCAGGACCTATAAATTATTACAATGAAATGAATTCAAGTTTTCTTGGTTTTTTTGCCATATCGTCTATTACTTCTTCTGAAGAAATGGCAATTTCTCGGTGGATACTGAGTTAGGAAGATTATGAAATTACCCGCGACAATTCCTGATTGATCCTCTGTGAACAATGTTCATTATTAACCCATTATGGAGGAGGTTAAGCAGCAATGCTACTTCAATGCTGAGGTAGTGATGAAATACTATCGATTGTATTGATAGTTTGTTACCATCGATAGTTTTCCGATAGTGAGACTAACCTAACTATCGACCTTAGCTATCGATAGTTTATCAAGCTGAATTAATGTTCATAAAAATACATTTTATCCATAACAATGACATTAATTAATGCCATTTCAAAGAGTATGATCATAGTACAGCTCTACGATGATTATATAGTTTCTTTGAAGTGATAATTTATATATTATCTCAGTTTGAATACTACCAATCTACCTTAGATTTTACTAGTCACGTTGGAACAGGAACACTCAACACTGCAGACAAAACCACACTACCAGGGTTAGGGGTGGTAGTTAGTGTTTATCTCTGTTATCAACTGACTGCAGAGGTTAGGTTTGCGAGTGCTTCTATGTTTATAGTTTCTGATATATGATTTGTATTTGTTTTAAAAAGGTAAGAGAGCATTTATGTCTACTGTATTTATAATACAGTTACAATAACGCCTATTACTCTGTTAGCCTACACCTTGGCAAGCAATTTACTATTAATTATTTCAATTTTAGTACATGGTGACTTAAGTTTTGCCCGGAGAGTCTTACGTTACATTTATTAGTAGGCCTATAGATAGCAAACTCTCCTACGGATTATTTCTGTCTCGCTGAGGATTGAGAGAATATGTATATATTTTCTGTGTTATATGATTCTCAGCGCATTCTAATTTTGACGTTGACATATCCATAAGTTTCTTGTACTTTTGATAGTTCTTATGCTGTTCATCAACAACAACAACTGTTGTATTATAATTATTGCTTTATTTTTGTAGATATTCTTTTATAATATTAGATGTTCTAAGCCAGAAATGTGTATTTTTAGATAGTATGTCGGGAAGAACAAAATCGTCTGTATGGCAGCATTTTAAAAAAGACGCAAAAAACCCTTCTTTTGCTACTTGTTTAGTGTGCAATAAACAATATAAAACAAGTGGAAACACCACTAACTTTAAAGATCACCTGAAGAGGTTTCACCCCTTTTTAAAAAGTTATGGTTCTACTGAAGTTGAGGCAGACGATGAAGATGGTCTAGATGAACCAGCGCCAAGCACTAGTACAAGTTCCAGCTCATGAAAAAGTACTAGTCACAAAAATGTTATTAAGCCGTCTAAAGGAATTAAACGTCCAATCAAACAATATTTAGACCGTGGAAACAAATAATGACAAAAAAAGTGAAACAAAACAAAAACTAGATAATGCATTGGTTAAAAAAGTTACTACAGATCTTGAACCATTTACCATTGTGGAAAGAGAAGGATTTAGAAATTTTATTTCTGTGATCGACCCAAAATACGAGCTTCCGAGCAAAACTACTGTAAAAAATGTCCTCCATCCACAACTTCATGATAAATTGAAAGATAAGTTAAAAACGCTTCTAACGGAAGTGAAACATGTAGCAGTCACAAGTGATATGTGGACATACCCCTCTACAGAGGGTTACCTAACTCTAACTTGTCATTTTATTCATGATACTTCCCTTTGTTCAGCGGTCTTGAGTACCTCTTGTTTGAAGGGAAGCCATTGCAGGTGCTGCCCGTTCAATCATAGAAGAATGGGGTATTGTTGACAACGTAGTTTGTATGGTAACAGACAACAGCTCGAATATGGTTGCGGCTGCAAACATCCTGAAAATCAAACACTTGCCTAGTTTTGCTCATACACTCAATCTTGTAGTGCATGATGCCTTAACTGCCAATGAAGAAGTGGCAGCTGTCATAAAGAAGATAAAGGCCATTGTAACGTATTTCAGAAGCAGCTCTTTAGCTTCAGACAAGGAGACACAGTGTAGCTTATCTAAGAAGACATTGAAACTAGTAAATGACACTCCGACACGCTGGAATAGCACCTTAATGATGATTAGGCAAATTTTAGAGGTTGGGGTTGGGGATAGCCTTGTCTTGGCAATGAGCTCTCTTAAGAACTCCCCACCACAATTATCAGCCGAAGACAATTCTCTTATGAGGGATATGGTGGAAGCCTTAACACCATTTGAAGAGGCGACTGAACAGATTTCAGGGGATCAGTACATCACGGCAAGTCTGATTAACCCCTTGGTTATTGGGCTAATCAACCACCTTAGAGAATTGGAGACGACTATGGCAACTGAAGGAGGAAGAATCTTAATCCATGCATTGATAAGCGCTGTAAATCAAAGACTCTTCCCTTATGAAACGAGAACAGTCCCGTCAACTGCCACGCTACTAGACCCGAGGTACAAAGGATTTGGCTTCAGAGTCCCGGCAAACATTATTAAAAAATGGTTAACTTCGGAGGTGCCATCAGCTGTGAATAAAGAAAAGTCTCAACAGCCACAGCTACAAAAAGCTTCTTCCTCGACCCAGAATGTTGCAGAAGCTACACCTGAGGAGGAAACCCCACCATAGAAAAAAAAGATAAATCTTCTGGGTTTTGTCCATAAAATTGCCGCCCATCAACGCCACAGGCATCAGCCACAACTGACGCCATAATAATCGTCCGGCAATACACAGAAAACAAAGTTATTGAACCCAAAGGTGAGGTTTTGCAGTTTTGGAAGGATCATTACAGCAACATTTTAGCAGACATTGCCAGAAAATATCTGTGCGTGCCAGCCACATCAGTGCCTGCAGAGAGGGTTTTTTCGAAGGCGGAGCTGATAATCACTGACCAGAGAAACAGACTCAAGCCCAAGTTAGTGGACGCATAGATTTTTGGAAAAGCCAACATGTGGTTGTTAAAAGTTTAGGTGACATCAATGTGTTTTAATTAACTCCAACCACTGTTTAATATGTTTTTATATTTAGCTAACATGTCTTTTAGTTTTAGGGGTTTCTCATTTTATGCCTAACTGATTTAACAGTTTATGATTATTCTTGTTTGTAATACATAGCCTAGGTATTTAAAACTTTCATCTTACATTTTCAGGCTGAAGGTTTTATTTTTATCCAAAATACATAATATTTATATGTTATTAAAATATATTAGGTATTATTCGAATTTAAGATTGCAGTTTTTTAAATCACCTTAAACTAAAAAATCGCAAATTGATCACCATAAAAATACTATTGATAATATCGATAGTTTAAAAAAAAATATCGAAAACTATCGATAGTCCAACTATTGATAGTATTTCATCACTATGCTGAGGGCCACTCTGTCAACCACTCGTGATGGGGGGAGCCTACTTTAATTCTTTACTTTTAAATGGCGACCATAATTAAAGTGTAGAATGAGTGGTGCGATCTTGTAGTCTTGTTAGTGACTAAGGCTGACATATTCCTTAGACACAGCTGTTAATTAATAGCCCATACAGCCAATGGCAGCTAAGGGACCTACAGTTTGTAGTGAAATTCGAACCACGTTTTTGCATTGTAACTAACGAATTGGTCTACAGTCGGGACCACGTAAGTTTGCAGTTGAGGGAGGAGCCTATTTACCATATGGTTTTGAATAAACCAATGAGAACCGTGCGGTGTTGCCAAATCTAATAATACCAGCTGATTTGAAAATATTGCTTATTATATTTTAATTAGTGTTGTCAACGGGCGATGTGGCAACGTCGCACTAGCTTTGCCTTGTGATTGGCTGCCACCAACTGCAAACTTACGTGGTCCCGACTTTAATTAATTATCACTGAGCCCCCGCTCGTTTTCGGCGCCGTATTCTCGTGGTAGGGCACAATCCAGTTAGACTATATACATTGATGGATTCACGACACACTGAAATTTATTTATTTTTCACCATAAAAGATAGTCGTCTACTAATACGATCTGACAGGTATATGATCTGAAAGGTTTTTTTTTCCAAAAAAGATGGTACAGGTTATCAGTAATTTTAACTTTCTCCATCAGATGACAGACCCATTTTTATATCCTCTCATTCTCTTTTTTGGTGAAAGAGGCTTTAACATACAACTCATGAACAAGAAAAAGACAGAAGATTCCACAACACCTTTCGGGTCACCTGTTGCCAATTAAACTAACAATCATAATAAATATCATATTAGACTAATTCATCAACCACATTTTTTAAGGTGGTTCTGATCTAAGGCGTAAGTGGTGATCATCTTCATCATATTTACCCTCTCTTTTAGCGAATTTCCCTATAGGGAAGTAGTTCTATTACCGTAGGTGGCACAGTAAGACCTAGGCTCGGGACCAATTTAATTTTTCATTTTGATGTCCCAGAGGCCAAAAACGCCATTCGTTCAAATTTGTATATTGTATATATATATACGTTCGTGAACGCAATAACTTGAGTAATTTTTGTCCGATTTTGATGAAATTTGGTTTAAAGGTGTAAGGCGGGATAAACTTGAAGAGTTCGCGAATCAGCATGATCGGACCATGAAAACGGGGTTTTACGGGGGGTTATATGGGGTAAAAAATGGTTTTTCTCATTTTTAACCCTCAAAACACAAAATTTCCCAATTTCTCTCTAGACCTTTTTAAAGAGCTTAAAAAAACAAATAATTTAGTATATCAAAGTGTTTTAGCGAATTTCCCTTGTAGGGAATAAGCTATTAGGCCTACTGTAGTACAGTACTCATGGTAAGACCTGGACGCGGGACAGATTTTTTTTTGTTTTGAGGTCCCTAGTAGAGGCCAAAAACACCATCCATTCAAATTCATATATATATGTGTCCGTTAGCACGATAACTCGAGGAAAAATTATCTGATTTTGATGAAATTTGGTATAAACGTGCAAACCTACATTTATTCGAACGAGTTCGCGAATCAGCATGAACGGACTATGGGAACAGGGGTTTTATGGGGGTAAAAATAGGTTTTTCCAATTTTTGACCCAAAAAACATAAAATTTAGCAATTTCTTTCCAAACCATTTTGTAGAGCTTAAAAAACAAATAATTTAGTATATTGAAGTGCTATTATGCGCCTAATGGGGAGCGAGCTGGCGTAGTAGTTGACCAGATGGTGTCAGTCCGGTCAGTCCCTGAGGTCCCGGGTCCGATCCCCGCCAAGTCACCAATGGATTTTATCTAAGTGATAATGCCGCAACCCCTAGGTCTAGCCTGAAGTAATGTGAAAAACAATCCCAGGCTTGTGCCTTGCGTCCTAGGACAAAAAAATAAATGTATGCGCCTAATGGTTACGGTGAAAATTCCAAAAAAATTTAAATACCCATGTTAATCTTATGGAGAATAAGTAAACTGTTGTAGTGTGCTTGTTTATGAACATATTTTGATCAAATTTAGAAAATGTTTTTATTTCTTACTAACTATTAACATAAAAAGAAAAAAAACAGGTTTACCCTCCCTGATGCAGCAAACCTAAGTACTTGTTAAACTAATTCTATTTAAATAGGGAATAAAATGTTATATTTTTAAGTAGACATTTTAGTGTAAATCCAATCAGGCAAATGGAAATTTGCTTAGTCTGCAGGTTTGCTGCGGCGGGGGTATTTTTAAGGTTATTGGTAATGGAGAAAATTCAAAAAAACTTTAATTTAAAACTCCCATGTTATTTTTATGGAGAATATTGTAAAATGTTGAAGTTAACTTGTTTATGGACATATTTTGATCTAACTTAGCAAATTTATTTATTTTATACTTAGCTATTAATATTTTAGTAATTATTAGTTTCCTTGTGGCAGCAAACCTAGGTACTCGTTAAAAATAATATTTAAATACATTGAAAAACATTTCAGACAGATGGAAATTCGCTTAGTCGGCAGGTTTGCTGCGGCGGGGGTATTTACTGATTAAATTACACTAAGTTAAATATTCAAGATCTTAATAACTTCACTTTATCTTCTGTATTAGCTAAATTTGCGTGAAATCTTAACCCTTCCTGGACGGGCGAAATCGTGACATAGGACGAGAATATATTAGAGGAAAAAATAAAAATTAATTTTTCTTATTTTTATACAAGTATACATAAAATAAACACAGTGGAACACTTCATTCTGTGAAAGTAATTTTTTACTCGCTTTTAACTATGCAGATATATCCGCTACCCGTCCGCGGATGAGTAGAAATGCAGCGGATAAATCTGCCACCCGTCTTCAAAGATATGAACACGACAACGTTAGGCAATAAATAAAGAACAATATATAAACAATAAATAAAGACAATGTAATGTTGAGCGCAAAACGTTGAGGGGACTCAACACCCGGCAGGTAGGAGTGGTGGTAGGTGTGCGGGAGCGGGGGAGGCGCTGGAGAGGGGTTGGCGCGGGAGAGAGGGGGGAGTGCGGGGGAGAGCGCAGTCATGGAAAGAGCAGGAAAGTGGTGCCTTGTTACCGCATAACATCAGGTTACTGCTCAAGCACCTGACAGTCTGTCTGAAGAGAAGGCGGATATAACCGCTTCCCGTCCGGGACATCAAAAACCATAAGCGGATATATCCGTCACTCGTCCGCGAAGGGTTAAGAGTAACCGTAGTTGTTATTATTCTAGGACATCCAATACATTTCACTCTTAAATTAGCAACAGATCAGCAGTTAGATTACAGTGCCACTTACCTGTAACCTCTTCTCTTATCATGCAATTTTTTCATTATTGTCTGACAAAAACTGACATTATCATGTAATCATCAATGTGAATTCTCCAAGTTTTATTCCGATTGTGGGAGAATAGTTTGTCTTGTTTCAAACTTATTTACATTTCCCATTTTAAAACGTTTTTATTAGCTCGCTTTCTTGTCCGGTACAAACTTTGAAATCAATTTTATACTAACTTCCCGACGAGCTAGAGACTTGAAACTTGAAACATAGCTCACAAATGGAAGACAATGCAATATTATATCATTTAATTTTCATATTTCCTTTGAGCTACGCCCCATGGGCTTGTTTTTATTAAATCGCTTTCTTGCAAATTTTGATACTTCCCGATGAGCTAGAGACTTGAAATTTGAAACATTGCTCATAAATGGATGACAATGCAATATTATATCATTTAATTTTTATATTTCCCTTGGACTACGCCCCAAGGGCTTGTTTTTATTAGCTCGCTTTCCTACAAATTTTTATATCAATTTTAAACAAAGTATCCGATGAGCTAGAGGCTTGAAACTTGAATCATAGCTCACAAATGGATGACAATGCAATATTATATAATTTAATTTTCATATTTCCCTTGGACTACGCCCCTTTGGCTTCCAAATTTTCCATGTTTACATTTTAAAAGAATGTAAACATATAAGAGAGAGGTTAAGAGGTACAGGTTCTGCTTCCGATATATTCTAAAAATATAAAACAACTAGCTGTTGTACCCGTGCTTTGCAACGGGAAGAGGACACAGAATGCAAAAAAAGTTAATTGTACTGCACCCTGTTGGTAAACCTTGTAACTTTTTAATGCTATTTAATATCATAGAACCAACTTGTGTAGTTGAAACAGCTGACAAAATTCTGTTATTCCTTTTAAATATGATTACTCATAAGGTTAACATGGGAAACTCCAGGGCCACTGGGGCGGAGCCCGAAAGGACTTTTGAGATAAGAATGTGTCTATATGTTAATCGGGAATGTGAACTATCATCACACCAAATTTCAGCCCGATCCGACCAGTATTTTTCGCGTTTACTTGTCACAAACATACATCCATACATCCATACATCCAAACTTTCTCATTTATAATATTAGTAGGATCATTTCAAAGTAAAGATAAAACATCTGATTACAGATAATAAGGTTTTGGGTTTTGGTTATGCATTAAGAGGCTATATAAAATAGATTTAACATATTTACACATTAAAGACTAAAAACTAGATAATAATTTATAAATAAAAATACTTTTTAAAAATGCCACGTTTTTAAACGCACTAAAAAGTATAAAATAATTTATGAAATGTTGAGAGAATAAATACTTGTATTTAAAACGAAAAACGTGGGGCGCATGCTGATTTACAATTAACTTCACCTATTGAACTATGATGATCTATTGCATGCGCCCCACGTTTTTCGTTTTAAATACAAGTATTTATTCTCTCAACATTTCATAAATTATTTTATACTTTTTAGTGCGTTTAAAAAGGCAGGGATTGTGTCAATTTGAGTCTTTTCACGGGATTATGTTCATCATCAAACTTGACATGTAATTCACACTATTCCGATAAACCTTGAAAACAAATTTGAATAGTTGTCAAGCTACAACCTACCAAAGGTAAACAGCTTATACATTTAATAGAAGTATTCCCTGGAATTGAGGTATTTATTCCTGTCACTGTCGTATAGAATAAGATTGAGAAGTAGTCCCAGTTCCTCACATTTTCAACAATTGCTTCGTACACAGTTATTAGTGTGTGTATATAGGAGCTTACAGCAGCGATGTACCGTGTGGGGGAGGAGCTCCCGCCTGGACTACCTCGCCCGCCTGGACAAACTTTTTTTCCATATTCTCCACGTTGTGTTACCACTTACCATCTTTCATATGTATTTACCGTCTTGAGATTCGAGTGTCAGGATTTGATCTTTTGTAAGGTGATGATAAATGAGAGTGAAGTAAATAAACACGCTTCATCTCCTCTGATCACTAAAAGTATTAAGTTAAAATATTAACTTTCTACTTTCGTTTTCCAGATATTATTTTTTGGCAAATAAACCATACAAATACCATAGGTTTTTATAAACATTTTAGAAAAAAGAAAGTCAATAAGTTACTGCATTACGCACTTAAAAATTAAAACTCTTTATTCACACACTATCAACAATTATTTATTAAACAAACTGCCTCTTTTATAAATATAAATATAGGTAATGATGCTAAAAATTTAGACAATCAATAGTGCTGCACCCTGTTGGTACATTTTGTAACCTTTTAATGCTATTGATAATCACAGAAGCAAATTGTTTAGTTGAAACAGCTGTTAAGATTCTTTAATTCCATTTAAATATGAGTACTCATAAGGTTAACATGGGAAACTCCAGAGCCACTGGGGCGGAGCCCTTTTGACGGATCTGCACCAAACTTCACACAAACCATCCTTGAATAATGCTTAATAATGCCTGAAAGTTTGATTAAAATCTGTCGAGCGGTTTTGGAGTCCATATATATATATTTATAGTATATATATTTACAAACTTCCTCTTTTATTTATTCTCTCAACATTTTATAAATTATTTTATACTTTTTAGTGCGTTTAAAAACGTGTTATTTTTAAAAAGTATTTTTATTTATAAATTATTAAATGTGTACATTGAATCATATTCAATACACAACTTAGTCAATATCTAATGTCTATACTCCTTCATATTTCAAGGTTTACAAAAAACACGTAAGATAAGATAAATAATTTATATACTGTATGTTAATTTACAAATCAAGACAATGGTACAAAACATTAGTTTCACTCATAATGAAAACCACACACATACATATCACACCCTGTGAGTTGCAAGGACATCTTCAGACGCTAGGTCTAGGGCAGCACTTTCTCCAACACCTTCAACATAAGGTAACACGTTATATTTTATGAACATGTAGGAAAACCTGGAAAACACAATGATCGAATGTTTATTCCTCTTTGGGTTTTCATTTATTATTTAAACTGGGGAGTAGCTGATTAAAACTTTTGGGATTTGAAAATATTTCTTTCGGTCCTTAAAACTACCCTATTTGATCAGTGATAAAATAATGTGATTATTCAATCCTTATTTTTGGTGGTAACATTCCAGAATAGTAATGTTTGATATCAAAGCACTATTGTAATACTATAGTACCGTAGCCTAGGCAAAGACCTCTTGCTCTACTCACGGCAACGTAGAGCTGGCCATGTCCAATCACAGGTTCCGGAAGATACACTCCAACTTTGTAATGCTACTCCCATAGCAATAATAATATTTTACTGTCGCAAAACAAATAGCACTGACAAAGTCATACAGTACAGTCAGAGACAGACAAAGTCAACATGTATTAGCAATAAATTGTTAAAATGTGGCAGAAGTATTTTCAGAATATTTTGGAATTACATGTATTAGCTTGTTGTATATTTTTAATGAAACTAGGACGTCCCAGGGTTGCACAATTGTGCCAGTTTATTAACTTTGAAGAACACTTTCCAAATGTAGCTGTTTCAACATACTGAAGGTTGGTATTGCCTAAAGACCGATATGCCTAAGCACGTTATTAATATTAGGCTCCATTTCCTCAAATTCACAGTGAACGTCAAAACTTTTTAATTTACAACAGATGTGGATGGAACTCATGCTGTAATAAATACACATTTTATATTCTTGCTTGAACGGTAATTTTTTTATTTAAAATTTGTTCACGACAAACGTTTTTAGTATAAACACAATGATCGTTTCTTAAGTGACCCTGCTCGGAAGTGTCCTCTACGAAGAACCGTAGCCCAGGCAAAGACCTCTTGCTCTACTCGTGGCAACGTAGAGCTGGCCGTGTCCAATCACAGGTTTCGGAAGATACACTCCAACTTTGCCAATTGACTGTCCTTGCACCTTGTTGATGGTCATTGATGACAGGATAACAGGGAACTACGTCCGTTCCAACGCAAAAGGGGCAAGTTAATTCTTAGAATCAGTACACGGGGTCCAGATGAAACTCCAGCTAAATACTGCTACAACTACCAGTAGTAAACGTCCGGCAACGCTGTGGCATGTCTTTAAAAAAGCAGAGAAGAGTACTGAAGAAGTGCGGATTCAAAAATTAGGCAATAGTGAAATAAAATAAAAAACTAACCAAGTCATGTAATCACACAAACTAGTGAACCCGTGCGGCTCAACGTGCAGCAAAATAACAAAAGAATTTAGAAAACAAATTCATCTTGTTGACTCTATGTCAAAAATAAAACACAGTAATAAAGCCGAAGGGAAGCACTCCAGCAATTTCCTAGCTGTATGTTTCTTATATTTTGTAAATTAATAAGCTTTCAAGTATGTTATTAGTCCAGTGCAATTAGGTTATGACCCAGAAAAAAATTATAACAGGCTGAAAATTGGTGTATATGTTCAAAACAATGTCCTAAGTGGCCCACACAAAGTCCCAAGAAAACCCAGTTGAGGAATGGCCGCCATCTTGAAAAAACTGCCGCCATCTTGGAAATATAGATTTTTTACTGGATCTGTTGAATTAATTGTCCGAAATGCCTTATTTATGTCTCAAATTAAATGTTTTGGGCTCATGTATGAGGGTAATATATAATTAAAGAGTTTAACATGTTCTAAGCATACATTTTATTTATATTTAAAATAATATCTATAATAATGATATAAATTTACAAAATATTTACAAAACTAAGATCATTCTATATAGGGAATAAGCTATTACCGTAGTACTCTTGGTAAGACCTGGTCACGGGACAGATTTTCTTTTTTGTTTTGACGTCCCTAGAGGCCAAAAACACCATCCTTTCAAATTCATATACATATACTTGTCCATCAGATAACTCGAGCAAAAATTATCCGATTTTGATGAAATTTGGTATAAAAGTTTAAACCTAAATATACATTTATTCAAACGAGTTCGCGAACCAGCATATGATCGACGGGGGTTTATGGGTCTTTTTTGGGGTAAAAATTGGTTTTTCTCATTTTTGACCCTAACACCATAAAATTTAGCAATTTCTATCCAAACCACTTCTAGAGCTAACAAAATATAATTTAGTATTTTTAAGTGTTACAATGTGCCACTCCGTGGTTACGGAGAACATTCCAAAAAATTGTAAATTTAAAATTTCCATGTTGTTCTTATAGAGAATAAGTAAACTGTTGCATTTTGCTTGTTTATGAACATATTTTGATCAAATTTATGAAATGAATTTATTTCAAACTAAACTAATAACATTTAACAAAAGACACCTTTTTACACTCCCCGTTGCAGCAAACCTAAGTAGGTACTTGTTAAACTTATGCTATTTAAAAAAGGTATAAATGTAATATTTTCAAGGAGACATTTAAATGGAAATCCAATCAGGCAAATGGAAATTACCTAAGTCTGCAGGTTTTCCTGTGGTGGGGGTATTTTTTTAATGGTCTTGTTAAAGCCATTAACCGGTGGCGTACTATCATAGTTGGGGGCCTGGGGCGGCTTAGATGAGAGGGCCTTTTTTACATACATATTACACACAAGTTAAATAATAAATACTATAGTAGGCCTACCCTGTTTAAAATTGTTTTAAACAGGGTACCATGGTGTTTATTAAAAAAAGTAACCCTAAACAGTGATTAGAACTAAAAAGAAATATAGGCCTAAATCAAATCAAATCAAATCATGTTTATTAGCACATAAACGTACAGAGGTTTTAGATAAATGCACAGGTGCTTCGTCATTTTTCTTATAGTCTAATATTATATAATGTCCTTTTTTACAATGTATTTAATTTATTAATAATAAATAAAATAGTTTTTTAACATTTGAGGAACTCTTTAAATAGACTAGTCAAAAGGTTTAATAAAAAAGATAACGTCAAGCTTAAAACTAAATAACAAGATTTATAGAATTTAATTATAAATAAAACATAAAAAATGTACAACACATGTAATTTTAGTCAATAACGAGGTCTACATTAAAATTTCACAACAAAAACGATATATATAAAATATGTAACATTTAAAAATCAACAAGATTAACATGGAGAAGGAACTTTTTACTCTATAAAATATTATTGAAGTAACAGGACCTGCTTATAACACTTGAGAGTCATTTAGAAAATCGTCAACTTTATAATAGGCCTTTCTGATCAAAATACTCTTAATGTTATCTGCAAATTGTGCTGGACTCATTGCTGTGTTTTTTAAGTGATTTGGAAGTTTATTGAACAATTTAATTCCCATGTAATGAATACTTCTTTCTAAAGATGTCGTAGAATGATGAGGGTATGTAAGCAAATTCTGGTTTCTAGTATTGTAATTGTGGCTATTTTTTTCTATAGAGTACCAATTTAAATTATTTTTTACATGACACAGAACCTAAAAAATGTAGATACATGGTACTGTAAGTATTTTTAAACTTTTAAATACTTCTTTACATGAGCTTCCAGGCTGTTTGAGGGTCATGGCTCTTAGGCATTTCTTTTGTACTTTCAATACATTTTTTATTAAATTTGTTGCGCCCCATAATGTTATTCCATATTTCACTAGCGGGTAAAAATATCCATAGTACAAAATAAGTTTTGTTTCCATGCTGATACAGTGTGTAAGGCAACTCATATTAAAACAAATGCTATTTAATCTCTTACATAATGGTACAATATGTTCATGCCACTTCAGATTTTCATCACATATTACCCCTAATAATTTCACAGACTTCTGATTCTTCAAATCATCATTGCCAACTGTAACCTTTATTTCACCCTCTCTATATTGCATACTTCTGAAGTGAATTATATTTGTCTTGTCTGCATTCAGCAACAGTCCATTTATTTTAAACCAATTTTCTAATTCTTTTATTATTGTCTCTGCTGTAAATTTAATTTTTTCTGTGCTATTATCTCTAATTAATGCTGTGTAGTATCATCTGCAAACATTACTATATCTGTCTTTATATTCATTGGAAGATCATTAACATATATTACAAACAAAGCTGGGCCTAAAATTGATCCTTGAGGGACTCCTGAATTTACAGTACAATATTTTGATTCATATGTCATGTTATCTATACTTAATGATGTTTTTTGCATTCTTTTAGTTAAATATGATCTAAACCATTTCAGACTGTACCCTCTGATTCCATGTACCTCTAGCTTTTTTAACAGAACATCATGGTCTACACAATCAAAAGCCTTTGACAGGTCACAACAAATTGCTGCAGTGGTCTGTGACCTGTCCCATGCCCTGTAAATATTGTCAGTTAGAGAGATGAGTGCTGAGTTGGTGGAATGAGATTTTCTAAAACCATGTTGACTTTTGGTTATTAATTTATTTTTCTCTAGATATTCCTGTAATTGAACATTTACAGCTTTCTCAAATATTTTTGAAAAGACAGGTAACAATGAGACTGGACGATAGTTTTCAATCAAGTTTTTATCCCCTTTCTTATAAATTGGCCTAACAATTGATATTTTTAGTTTTGATGGAAAATCACCTGTAAACAGTGACTGATTAATTAATGTGCAGATTGGCATAGCTATATAATCTTTACATTCTTTGATTAAGGTGACAGGAATCTCGTCCCAACCAGTAGATTTTTTATTTGGTAGTGATTGTATAATCTTTAAAATTTCATGAACATTTACTTCTCTGAATTCAAAAAACAAACTTTCTGGGTTTATCCCCGTTTTGCAACTGTCAACTGCTTTTTCTGGTGAACTTTTAATATTCAGTTTTTTCCTAATGTTGAGATAATGATCATTAAAATAATCTGGAATAACTTTGGGGTCTTTTATTATGGATCCGTCAATTAGTACTTCTGTCAAAACGCTCTTTTTCCTTGTATTCATTCCTAGCTCATTCTTAATTACTTTCCAAGATGCTTGACTTTTACACT